CTAGTTTTGACTACTTTTACCATTTCCCTAAAACCCAAACTGAACAAGACTGGTGAGAAATGTATTTACATTGTTATCTAAAAGCTGAGACAGCAAAGCTCTATTCTAAATAAGGGAGGGGGCAGGGGACAAGGGAAACACTCATTTACATTTGCTAGTAGCAAGGAAAAAGCAGTCAGACACCTGTCGTACTACAGGATACCAAGTTTCACCAAGAACACATGCTGGACAGTTTCCCCCGTTCCCCTTTCTTTTCACAGGTACCAGGAACTACAAGACCCCATACAATAACAAATCCCACACAATTATAGAAAGAAATAAAAAGGAAGTAATATTTTTAAAACAAATATATTGTAAATGTAGGTGCTTTGACGTTCATTCTATATTATTAATTATAATTCTAGGCGACTTCAGTGCTACTGACTTTTCTGAGGAATAAGGAAACTTCTTCTAAGGATACCTTAAGATTTTTTAAAATCTGTTTATAATCAAACAAATACAATTTGTTCACGTCTCAGGTGTATATCACTATTTAGGTCCTCCAAAGGTCTTTGCCAGGCTGTTCCAGAAATAGGAGGAACATATTTTCAAACAGAAAAAAGGTTGGGGGCTAGGCAGGGGAGGAAATATAGTACTCCCACCAAACACTTCCTTTTGTGGGGTGGAGGGGAAGGGAAAGCACATATGCCTCCTTCCACATCAGAAGATATGGCAAAGTGCAAAAACCACGTCTTTTTGCTTCAATCACATTTAAGCTAGACTACTTAAACTCAAACACAGACCCCACACTGTAGAGTTTAATCTTGAAATGTGATGTGATCCATGTGATACTTCAGCATGGCACAGCGTAACTGATGTAGACTAGCAGCTTTAAGAAGGAGCTTAAGTAAAAATGCTTCTGAAAGCAAGGTGCTACACTCTTAACTTTTCTCATGCAGTTCTATTAACACGTCATAGCCCCCATCTGCCAATGCCTCCTGTATTCCTGGACCCTACAGATATTACCAGTTGTGCTATATTGTGGGTGATCTGTAATGTGGACCACACTAGGGAGGACAAGATGATCACAGTAATTTCCATCTGTGACTTCCATCGGGTGACTGCTTTAATCTGGCATTGTCTTGTTTTTGGTGTTTAAGTCAGATTTTCAATGTTACTAGCATTTGTTTATACAACTCACAGGCAGTGGCCCATCAATCTAAACAAATTAAATTCTGTTTAGGCAATACAGAACCGTTATATTCAGAATCTTAAGAGCATCATATTTAAACCAAATACTGTAGCAACATTCTCAGTTTATAACTAATACACTTACTTAAGCACTCCAGCTGACAAAAATACAAAACAGTAAACTGTCAGGGCTGCTATTATCAGGCTCTAATTTCAAATTAACAGTACAGCAGTACATTAAACATGAAGTGTTTGACGAATCGGGATCTGAACACAATTCCAATAGCTCTACTTATAATTTCAGCTTTACTGTCTTTGCTTACCTTGCTCCAAAGATCTGCATCAGTGGACCTGAAGAGGGCAGCAGAGGATAATAAATAAATAAATAAATAAATAAATAAAATAAAATAAAATCATCAGCAAAAGAATTTTTTTTTTTAAAGCAGAAGGAATTTCTATTGAAGAGAGCACAGCCTGTGCACAGTAAATATTTATCTTGAGCAGGAACATTCCTCAAATATTAATGCTTAAAATTTAATTATGCAGAGATTAAGTTTTCATGTAATAAAGCTTAAACTTTTCACAAATATCTTTGTTTCCAATGTCAGGATTCATTTATTTGTAATGTTATAAAAAAAGGGCATGCCATACATACAGCTATCATTAAGACTAGGGCAAGTTTATCCTTTTATCGGTGGACAGCTGTACTGATTTTTTTTCTACATTTTATTCTATTCAGTATTTCACACAAGCATCTCAGGCAAACTAAGAGGCAGCATTTCACAAAACAAACAATCAGCAAGTGGAATTTGTTATCTCAGAAGGTGAGCGTCTCAAATAGCATTTCTGGATTTTAAAAAGACTGGATAATTTTGTGGCCAATAACAGCATTTGTAATTCTACACATAATTAAATAAATATCATACTGAGGATATAAAGTTTATTATGCAAAAGGTTAGAAGAGAGTTGGATCCTCTTCCTACAAAGAGCACTGCATAATTGCAGGATAGCTATTTTTCATTTTTCTGTGCAGCCTCAGGTCATGGCCACAACTGGAAATAGGATACTAGACTGCAGATAAAAGGTTCAACATGGTACGGCAAATCCTAGAGCCCCACATTTTATAGAACATCAAAACCTCACCCGGAAGCTGAAACTCTTCAAACACCATAAAAATAATAAATTTGGATGAACTCAAAGAGCAAAAAAACCGTAGCTTGTATTTTACTGTTTTTAACTCTTTGTGAAGAGAAAAGAAATAAAGCTTTCACCCCAAATGGCAAACATGGAAGCCATTATGGAGCATTTTTAAATGCTCAGGGTTTTCTCACGATGTTCAAACCTTTGCTTCATTAAACCTTTTTGTGATTCCAGCCTAATTTGAAAATGAGTTCACAGAAAAAAAAACAACAAAAGGCTATCACTGAGCATTCCAGAATAAGCTGTCTGCCTCAGATGATCGATACAGTACATCAACTCATGGTGCTGGCATCAGACTTATATTCCCGGAGAATCTGACTATTCCATAGTAATGGTACAGAAAAGATCCACAACAAAATGATTCTTGAAAAGCTGAATCATTCATTTCCTTCAACTGATACTTATATACACATGTTTCTTTGTATGAAGATTCTAGCCCTGTAATCTATCTTGTGCGAAGGTTCAAAGCTGGTGGTTACTTTTAAAGTATTTTGTAGGGTTTAGGTATCAAAAGCACTATAGGAACAGCAGGCTGGCCACCTGGAATTTCTCGGAAGTTGCCAGACATTACAAATAGCTAGAGATTTAAGATGACCATGTCGTCCAACAGACATTCGGAAACCATATCTGCAAGGAGCGAATTCCCCATTTGTTTCAGTGAGCGAGTTGTTAGTTCAGACGTACAGTAACACCAAACTGCTATCTATTTAACTGTTGATCAAAGCGTTTAAAGAAAATGATGACCAGATTATGTAAATCTGATTTTTCTTCCACAAGTTGATGGTGTCCAGAAGATACCATCTCCCTCACATTTTCACTTTGGAGTCAAAAAGGTCAAAAGGGGGCTAACGTGAACCCCACTAAAGAGAGTAAAAATGATATGGAGCACTCATTCTCTTAAACCTGACCAAATAAGCTCAATCAAAGCAGGAGACTGCTCTGGTGGTGTCATTTCCTGCCTGGCTCCAGTTGCTGTTATCCTTCATTCTGATAGAACAATACTTCTCAAACAGGGTGCCACAACACCCTGAGGTGCCCTGAAAACCTTTCAAGAGTGCTATGAGGTGCCAAGCAATGTTAGGTGGGCAAACATAATTCACTAGATAAACTCAAACTTCTGACTTGCTGTGGTCTTCCTGAGTTGTTTACAACAGAAAAAAATGGTTTATATTTTTTCTGTAGTCAAGGACAAGTGAAAACTTGTAAGATTTGACATTTTCCAAGGAGTACCTCATGTCTACAAGGTTAAGAACCACTGTGATAGAGGTTGTCTGGAAACTGTCAAATGTTTGCATTGCATTTTCAAGCTTTTCTTTGAAAGGCTTGTATGGCTCTTGTTTTTTTTAATTATTTTGTTACATGTCCCCATCCCCCCACACATTAGCACAGACTCTGCCATTTTCATATTACTCTGGGAACCAAAAAGATCCAAACTATACATATACTGTGCTTCTGCCTTAATCTAGCCTCACCTATACTGGTATCCTAAACTTCACTGACCAGAACTGGAAAAACCCAGCAGACCACCTAGGTCACATGCTGATTATCTGTACAATCTCCTGCATGAATGGAGTTTCATGCTGGTGTTCCACATGAGTGGAGTGCAGAAAGTACCATCATTGTTTTCTTTCCTTACTTAAGCCTTGCTTCGATTGGAACATCTCAATCCTTGTTCATAAGACGTACACAGCTTTTAAAATGAAAATCAATCAGTTTGCACATCTAAATTGGGTGTTACTGGGGCCAACTATTAAAAATAACAGTAATAAGACTGCTAATGCATCCCCATGCTTTTACTGCATTCACCATTTGAGAGACTCTACACTTCTAACTTTGAAAAAAAATCTGTAAGAAACTAATGAAACCTTAATGGCTTAAGATTCTGACCAGGAAAAAGAGATGTGGCTCTCTCAGAAATATCTAATACATTTTAGCTAGATCTAAAATAACTTCTGCAGAGAGGCAGACCATCAGCTTGTAGCTTAGCATAGCTTTTGGAGTTTTATATTAGACCCCAGGGGCGCCAAAGATCTGGCCTGTGAGCTAGATCCAGTCCATGGATCCCCATTGTCTGGTCCCAGGGGTTGCTCCTGGGTCTCAGCTGACCTGCATGCTGCTGGACCAGCCCCATATGCAATGCCTGGGGGACAAGCAGTACCTGCTCCAAGATCCACAAAGCACCTGCTTCTGGGAATTGTGTGACACACAGAACCCTTCCTAGCCAGTCTGCATGTACCCGGGGCCAACAGACAGGCAGGAAGAGAAGGCAGAGGCAGAGGGAAGGGATGTCATGGGGGAGAAAGGGCATTTATGGACCCAATGCAACCCATGGAGCAGTCCAGCACCACTGATCTGGCCCACAGGGCCAGATGAGTTTGACAACCCTCTCCTAGACCAGTTGCATAACCTGGGGTGGATGAGCAGGACATGTGCCCCAGGCACTGCCTAACATGAGGGATGCCATAATGGCAGAGGCAGGGGAGAGAGAAGGAAGAGAGGGCGCTTCTCATGTTTAGGTTACTGCTTGTTTCACTGCTGCCTGCCTCTATGATGCACGTTTCTGATGCAGGAAATAGGTCATGGAGTGCAAGGTGTTCTCAGAAGTTCAGTTTTGAAGAGCAGCAGTGAAGTTTGGTGCTGCTGTGGGGAGAACTGGTCCATGTTTTTACCATTATTCAGCAATTTTTGCCAGGACACAGGCTGGGGGGGGGTGAAAGAGAAGAGTAAAGGTTTCCCCTCAGCAGCAGCAAACTCCGTTGCCAGTCTAGAGAACTACCATATTTACCCAAATACAAGAGAATCCTGAAGGTTGAGATGACCCCCAATTAGATTCTACACATGGAAAACATAGCTTTATTATAATGTTCCATGTATGGAATCTAATTATTGGAGGATCATCTTAAATTCATCCCCCCACACTACTGCAGGTGGGGGGGAGGGAAGAGAGGTGATGAGGGGGGCAGTAATGAGGCAGGCAGTGGAGAACAGGCAGTGGGGGAGGCAGCTTGGGGGCAGATGGTAGAAGGCAGGCAGTGAAAGAGGCAGGTAGCTTGCTCCCTGCTCCCTCCCCACTTACCCTCCACTGTGCTTGTCCCCCCACAACCCCCGCAGCCTCAGGTTGCCCCAATTCACCCTTCCCCTATTCCCACCCTCCATGCCACTTCAGCCCCACTCACAGCCACAGGTCCCCACCCCTGCTTTTTCTTGTCTCTCCCCCACCACCTGCCCCTCCACCCCACCCTCTTACCTTTGCTCTGTGCCAGCAGGCTCCATCCCTGCTGCAGCCTGGGGCCTGTAGCAGCAGCACAAGCTGGCACTGCTGGTCCACCCTGGCCCCATACCCCAGGATGCAGCAGGGATGGAGCCTGGAGACACAGAGCTAAGGTAAGGAGTGCAGCAGAGGGTGAGAGGAGAAGCAGTGTGGAGACGGGAAGGGACTGAGGGTTGTGAGGGAGGAGAGGCAGGGTTTGTAGAGACAGCAGGTGGAGGGGGGAAGCAGACAGCAGATGCAGCTTTGGCTCCAACCTTGTGTTTGGCCTGGAGCTGCAGCAGCTGCCTGCCCCTTGGGTGCATCGTATTCAATTTTAAGGCAAGGGGTTCCCCCCCATGTTAAATGGTAGGAAAAAGTGGGAACAATTTATCTTCTTGTTTAGTAAATACAGCATTATTCCCAGAATGCACCACAAGACTGCCCTGCTCTCTACTTGCTGCTGTTCCTGGGTCTGCAAGCAAGAAGGAAGCCAGGAGCAGGAAGGGGATGGAGTGAGAAACAGTTGCTTTGGGAGCATGTTTTCCAAGCTACACCTCTGACCCAGAGCATAACTGACTGAAATTTGAAAAACACAACATTAGGCCTTGTTCAGCTTGCATGCACTAACTAAAGTGGACCTGAACATGACCACGCTTCTTAAGGAAAGCACATACAATATACAGCATGATAAAAAAAGAATAAGGTGCCAACTGCTCCAGGGCGACTGCCCATCTGCACACCTTTATCCCATGATAAGTGGAAGACCTGAGGGCTAAGGGACTTGGAAAATTTATGGAGGACAGGTCCATCAGTTGCTATTAAACATGATAGTCAGGTGTGCAACTTCATATTAAGGCCTCCTTCGCCTCTGGAATCTGAAAGCTGTAGACAGAGAAAGGCAGAGGATATATCAATCTGGACATACAGTGTTTAAATACTCTTCTCTTTCACATCTGCCCTCTGCAGCTTTAAGAGAGGACACTGTGCCAGATGGACCTATGGTCTGACCAAGCATGGCATTTCCTCAGTTATCCTAGTTCAGCTACCATTTATTACATACTCTGTACACAGGCAGTTATTGTGGAGTAGGCAACATACAATGAAGTTCTTTTCGCTTTTCCTTATACCCTGACTTCAAGCTTCAGAGAATTTCTGAAACAATCTAAAGAGACTGCATTAGGTCTCCAACCACCAGGGGCAGTGTGACCTCTGAGGGTCTTAAGAAGAGGAACAGCATATTCATTTATAACCTTAACAGATGACTGCAAAAAACTGAGCTATCAGTCCAGGCTACATCACAGTGAGAAAAGTTAAGGTATCAACCATGCAAGAAGAACAGCAATATGTTTACTGGTAGGGTACGATTTTGGCTACACAGAATAATTCTGTGCTCTCCCCTCTCCCCCCACCACAAATCAACAACTGGTAGGGGTGTGCAAAGCAGGCCCTATTCGATTTGGATTCAGCCCAAATCAGGGACAGTGGATTTAATTAGTTGATTCGGATCACTGTCCCCGATTCAACTTGGCCAAATCCGAACCTGAAGATTTGATGTCAATTCAGAGAATCAGTGATTCGGACATAGACACAGCTTTAAAAGTTTTTTCTACATACCTCGAGGTACTAGCATGGCTTGTGAACACCGAGATGCTGGGGTGTATGGAGCGTCCCACAGGAGTGTGGGGGGGGCCCTCTACATGTCAGCAGTGAACCTAGAAGTGGATTGGAAGTACTTTTGGTCCACTTCTGGGTCTGCTGGGGAGCATGCTAGCCCCCCCCCCCCCGGCACTCCTGGCTTGATCGGCCACAGGGGGACCTCAGGTGCCCACCCGAGACCCAGGAGGCACCAGTCGCTGAGATGGGGGGGGGGCCCTCCAGCGTGCTCCCCGGCAGACCCAGAAGTGCTTCTGGTCCACTTCTGAGTCTGCTGCCGAGCGCGCTGGAAGTTCCTCACACTTGTGGGACATTCCATGCGCCCCAGCATTGCAGTGTTCATGAGCCACCTGCTATCTAGAGGTATGAAGAAAAAACATTTAAAGCTGTGTCTATGTCCAAATCGCCGCATCTTTCCGAATCTCTCTCAATCAATTTGGAGCGTTCCAATTTGATTCAGAGAGGTTAAAGGGTCCTCTGATTTGATTTGGATTTGGACATTCAGCCACTGAATTGGGCCGAATCTCCACCAAAATCGAATCAGGGACCAAAGCTGCTCACAGCCCTAACAACTAGTAAAAACTTTATGGCCACAACTCTTCATGATACGCAGCAGAAATCAGGGCCCCTTAAAAGGCAGTTTTCAGATGAGGAATCTCCCCACTCTACAAGATGCTACAGTCCCCTCTTAGTAAATACGATCACATGGGTGAAAGTCACAAATTAAGGTAACATGTAATACCTTTCCTACAATCAGTTGGAATTCTAGTGTTCAAGAGTTAAGTGAGTATTCAGGGCAAAGAAAGCTTTCAAGTATGCTCAGGTAGCTGTTCTTGTCATTGCTTTCAAATCTTTTTTTTAACATTAGTGCTTTACTTTACAAAAGCCTCCTTTAAGCCTTGTATTTTTCTATGGGATTATTCTTAGAGTATGGTTAGAAGGACTTTTCATTTGAAAATATAATTAAAAAATGAATAGTATATGTGGTCAGCTATTTAGAAACCATTACTTAAAAAGAAGGACGAACTAAGATCAAGTGGTAAAATAAACTAGCTGTCAAGAACATAACATTCACAGGGAGGTAATAAATAATTTTGTCGTTATTTTCCAGAAACCATATGCAATGAACTTTGGAAGGAACAAAAAGATCAGGAGGCAGGCTTGCCAGGAATCATCCCTCTTCTCCTGGATTTTGCTACCACTGCAACTGACTTCCCCCAAAGCAGTTCTTGACCCAGATGGATCTTAAGTGAAGAAGCAAAAAATCACATACAGGATTAGAGACAAGGAAGGAAATGACAAGTCAACTTGCACTTGGGAAATACAAGTGTATACATTTGGTGATGGATTCTTGTGGTGTCTGGCATGCAGGTGTGAGTTGGTGGGAATCACCTTAGATTTCAAGCGTTCTGAGGTAGGTACAATCATATAACGTTCGTCTATACTGCCTCCATGCTGTACCTGGAATGGCCAATGAAAAGCATATTCTTTACACTTGCTTCCAATTAGCGTACCACAAATCCCAGAAATGAGGCAGTGTAACCAGTTTAGAACAGCACTTAGTCTGCAGTAACTACATATACAGTTCCCGAGTGGAGGCATCCAACTTGTTTCAACAAGGCACTTGCCCCTTATCCTTTAACTCAAGTGGTATGCAACTAAAAATCATCTATGTTTCCACAGCCTACAGTATGATCCTGTCCTCGACTCATACCCCAGTCACCAAAAGTCAAGGCTGATCTTCCTCTTCAGTTAGAATAGATTTTAATTACAAATACTTGATCTAACACAAGATTGTAATTTCTAACACCAGGAAAAGAATGACAAAACAAAGAAGCAATAATATTTTATACAAAATTAGCTGCTTGAAAAGATGAAACAAAGTTGAGAATGTAATTCTACAAATAACACTTAGCGTCCACATGGTGCTGCTGACTTGCAGAACAAGTTTATTTGTAAAGGTAAGCAAAAATCATGATTCTTAGAGTGGGTGAATAAGGCAAACAGATTAAGTGACTTGGGAAGTCTCACAGCAAGTTTAAAGAAGAACCAGATAGAGCAGAGGCGGGCAATTATTTCGGGGAGAGGCCGCTTACTGAGTTTTGGCAAGCCATCGAGGGCCGCATGACAGACAGCCCAGGTCAAATGAATATTAATTTTCTAAATTTTTTAGTGGCACTGTGGGCCAGATAGAATGGTCTGGCAGGCCGCATCTGGCCCCCGGACCACTTTTTGCCTACCCCTGGGATAGAGGACAGGAAATCTCCTCACTTCCACTATAACAACCATGACTGATACTAACAACTATGCCTGTATAAACTAGAGATACTAATAAAGCACAAAACACAATACATATGTAACTCACTTTCTGTAATTTGAAAATAAATCATTTTCTTCTATTACATTAAAGTCTTCCCTTTCTGCAGAGAAATTTAAAACTCATTCTTTCCTCCTACCTCTCCAAAGCAAGTAAATGGTACAGGTAAAACCTCCTTTGGTCTTACACAGCACTACTTTCTATAAGAGCACCATCAGAAATGCAAAACTGACAAGGAACACAGCTATCTGTGGTCTCCAGTCTATTTCATACTCTTTCAAAACTATACCACAAATCCCACTGAACTTGGGGTGGAACAGGAGGTTATGCAATCCTGGTCAGTTTCTTACTTGGAAGTGCTGGCATCCTAGACCAGTGGTTTTCAACTTTTTCAACTGCAGACCCTTAAAATATTTCAAATGGAGGGTGTGGAGCCCTTTGAACTGTAAGTGAAGGTATTCACATTCTTTTGACTGATAGCAGTCATCTTTCGTGGGCCCTTAAACATAGAGGACCACAGGTTGAAAACCACTGTTCTAGACAAAGTAGAAGGGTTCTGGAAGTTCTCTTTGGTCCCTTGAATAGTTTTTGCTACAAATCAAGGTTTTTGGTGCGGGTTTTTTAGCTTAACTTTTCAGATTCTATAAACACAGGGGAAAGATTATAGAAAGCTGGGTTCAGGGAGAGAAAGAAGAAAAAAAAACTTACTGATTAAACGCAACACGGAGAACCTCTTGAATCTCTGGGATCTTCATATGCGGAGTACTTGGTGAAGACACTGAAAAGTGAACGAGATACTTCTAAACAGTGATTTTTAGGAATAGCTAGTTTAACTTATCTGTCCACATACATTACGACTCAAAGGAAGATTTATTTCCTCTTTACTCAGTAACTTTCAATCTTTTTTTAAAAACCAACAAATATCATTAGGGACAGAGGTATCATCATGCTTAAACAGAAAGAAGGTCTGCATATAATCTTAAATACAGTACAGTAGCTGGCAGCACATGCAAGTCCTGAAGAAGATATAGCAGATACGGGATAATGTGTCCCAATTTGCAGTGCAAACAGATTTGCCTAAATTCTGCAGCATAAAGTTCAGTATCTTCCAATGTTTTGATCTTTATACATTACAATACTAGGTAGTCTCATTATCCACATACATGCCTGACCTGTTTTTTTAATTATGCTAAGCTTCTGGCCTTAAGGATGCCATGTAGCAACGAAGTTCCCTAGTCTGAGTATTATACCAGAAACTTCATTTAATTAGTTTTGAATTCCCACCTTTTCAAAAGATAATCTTCCATCCTTAAGATTTCAACTCAGCTGCCACTACTGATAACTACTTATTAATGATCACACAAACTAATAGATGGGAGATAGGGATACACCAATAAAGATTTCTTGGGCTGATACTGATGGCAGATTATTAACAAGCCAGATTGGCTGATACAGATCCGATTGCAGATATGCAGCCCAGCAGCTTGAGAGCAGCGTGTAACTGGTAAGTCTGTGGGTGGGAAGGGATGGTGTGGGAGGGGAAGATCAAGGCCCCTGCAGTGAGGAAGGGAGTGGGGCTGGGAGCTGGATGGAGCTGTGAATGGCTCATCCAGGGCGCAAGGGGAAGGGGACTCCTGCCACTGCATACACCCCCTGGGGAACCATGGGGGGCATGTGCTCCCCAGTTCTGTGTGCAGGGCAAGGGTGGGCTGAGGCCGGTACCAGGTTCTTCTGCGGGGGTGGGGAGAGGGAGAGAGGCTGTGCCAAAGCGTTCAAGCTGGATGGTGGTGCTGGGGGGGTTACCCAGAAGCTGCCCCCCCATGTCCCCCCCCCAATGAGCCACTTGTGGTTCTGCCCCACGCCCAGCCCCAGCCCCACTCCTTCCGTCACTGCAGGGGCCTTGATTTGTGCCCCCTGGCTCCCTAACAGACGGTCACCTTACCAGCCAGACACTACTCTCTAAGCTGCTGGGCTGGCTGCTTGTGTCTGCGGCTGCCCATGCATGCATTTATCAGCGACATTATCAGCCACATCAGCCTAAAAAAGCTGACTGCTGATACTGTCAATATTCCTTTTATTGGTACAGAGCATTTACTGAAATGTTTATCAGTACATGGACTGATGTACTGATGCACCTCTAATAGGAAACTGGCTCTGGAGCAGTGGTTTTCAAACCCGTGGTTCCATGAAATCATGCGTTTCTGCAATAGGTCATCGGGGGTTCTACAAAGAGTTCAGGGGTAACTGATGTAGTGGGCCAGGAGGTGGTACACTGCTATTGCTGGGCTGGGTCACCCATCTGTGTCAGCTCACAAGATGGGGGAGTAACGGTCCTGTGGCAGAAGAAGTGGTAAGAAAGGGTTCTGTGAATTTATAAAGTATGAAAGCCACTGCTCTTGAAGTTGGCATGGCAGATGCAACAAGATGGAAAATTGCTTCAATCTCAAAATGAAATTTGAGATTGAGGGATTTACACAGAATTCAAGAGAAAGAACTTGAAAAATGGTATCTTTCAGAAAAAGTTATGTTCTTTCCAGTCCTATACCTGCCCTTCAGCAGGCCAAGTAGTTCTGGGGGTTTTACAATCATGTATTTTTGTCTTTAAAAATGTTTTTCTCTACTGTTGTCATGTAAGTTTCTCCCATCAGAACAAAAGACTAAATAGCTATGCAAAGGAAACAGTAACATTAGTAATATCTGGTATCTAAGGAATTGTCTGCTCAACTAACCAAACAAACACAAACAGAGAGAAAAAGATCTTGATACCTTAACAACCTTTAACTGTAATGATCTTGTGTGTTACTTTTAACTGTAAGGGTAAAAATTCAAAGACGTATGTAGAATTAAGCGTCTCTTTTGGGCTCCTTTACAACTGCAATTTCTTCTTCCTTACAACTCCTTTTTTTTGGTCTTTTGCTGTTCCTCCTGTCTATCCTCCAGAATGCTCCTACTCCAACAAGACACTAGCAAACCACTGGACAGCAGCAGTACATTTAGTATCCGTATGAAAGAGATTCCATTTTCTAAAATATTAATCTGATATGCTGCCTTTCAAGTATGTATTTACGGATTTAGGATTAATATTAAAATGGAATTAACCCCATGCAAAGGTCAAATGCATTAGTGATATTCAACAAGAGCTATGGCACATGAGAAAGTAAAAAAGAGAAATGCTCTTTCAGGACCTATAAATTAAGGGGCACAAGTACTGTTATACCCCCTACTTCTTTCCAAGTGTTCAGCACTTAATCCAAAAGCTGAAACATTTAGTTGGAAGATCACCTTTAAAGTTGATTTTATGAAATATCCAATAAAAATGTTTTTCTAGTGGTATATTAAACTTTTTGCTCATAAAAAGACAAGCATAAAATATCTCAGTATGCTCAACAGCTGCTGCTGACAACTGGCAACCTGGTTTCCTTAGCAACAAACAAGTCTGAGAAAATCAAGAGGCTGACAATGAAGTGGAATGGAATGGCATGATAAAGGGAAAAAAGCAGCTCTCATGTATTCTTCCTTGTGTGTCTAGATTCCTCAGCTGATGCTTCATAGTTTTCATCTTGTCAGTAACAGAAATCTAAACATAAGGGATGCGAAGCAGAATCAATAAACCTCGATAGCACCCAGCATTAAAACCCAACCTTCACCTCCGCAAGCTGCACTGATGAGAAAATCTTGAACTAATTTTCCATATTATATCTACTACTCCTCCCTTGTAATACTGCACAAAGCAGCAAAGCCAAAGATTCAGTGATTTAATATATGCACCTTACTATTTTCTAGGCGCTAATGAGATTTACTGGCATTCAATACTGCTTGTTATACTATTTATATAGCAGTAGAGCCCTGTGTTGAATTCAAAGGGACACTACTCTTGTGAAATGAAGTTTAAAGGAAAGGTTTGTGATTCATGTCATTTACAAAACCCCATATATGACAAATGGAACAGTACTGCAAAATCTGAAAAACTCGTTACATGGGCAAGTCTCTGGCTAAATAATCTTCTACTTATAGTGACTTCATGAGTGACAATGCTAAGTCTGATGTTAATAGGTATTTTAAAGAAGTGATCACTATAGCCAAAGTAGAAAAACAAGACACTTAATTTTGCTTCCTTAGGTAAGAAAAACAAAATTTAGAAAATCATATTACCAAAAAAATCCGTGTAGCTGAGATACTCCCGATCCAACCTGATAGCTGTTCTTTCAAAAACATTTAAAGTACATTTTGCATGGCAAGTATTATTAAGTTGCACAAACAAAAGATGGTACAAATTAAAATGAATGTTAGAAGCAATTATTTCTAAAAAAGATGACAAAGCCTATACTTTTGAGAAGTATCAGCTTAGCAACATTCTAATTAGATATGAATTTACAAAATTTCAGTCCACAAATATATTATTATATTTTAGTTTTAAAGGGATGTTGATTAAATAAAAAACATTATTAAAAAAATAATCAGTACTGTTTTACTCCTTGATTTACTTTTCATTATTTATGCATGTTTTCTTTTTAATTGTAGACAATGAAAAATAATTCCTCTTCATGTTTCTTTATGTTATAAAGTTTCCAGTCAATATGACTTTTGAGTCTTTATGCAGTTGTACATTTTTCAGATGGCAAACTGCAGAAGGATGATTTCTGAGATAGAAAATTACTTTCAACATTCTACTTGAATTAAATATCTTGGGATTGTTTAAATTTGCCTGCTAAGTCATTCACTAGGGCTAATTGACCTACCAGTGTCCCATTTAAATAACATATACTTGAGTCTTTTTTTTCAGTGAAAATTTTAAACAAACTGTATTTGCATTCTGATCCTGAAAAAACTCAAGCACATGCCTAATTTAGTAAACCTACAGAGTTTGTTAAGTTAAGCAAATGTTATCTTTTGCAAGATTAGACCCTTTAAATATTCAAACTCTTCTGACAAAAGCTATTGCTTCAGAAAAAAAAACTGCTTTTGTTAGTCCAGTGTCTGATTATCCTGTCAGGTGTATACCTGCAATTCCTACTGACTGCGGAAAGAAGACCCCTAAGTAATTCCCAAATACTAATGAAAAACATTCATACTGATGTTATAGCTTTTTATTCATTTGTATCTATAATAATAAAATATTAAAGCACACAAGAGCCCTAATAATGGACCAGGACCCCTCTGTGTTAGAAGCTGTACAGACACAGAACAAAGAAACAGCCACTGCCCCAAAGACATTGCAAATCCCAGGGCATAACCAGTTTTCCCTTACACACACACACACACACACACGCGCGCGCACGCGCACACACACACCAGGTGGGTGCTGCAGATAGTGGAGCATGATAAGCTGTACATACATATTCATATGTATACAAAACTAGGGCCTATGGGGATTCACATTTTAAAAAATGCTTAAAAAAATTAATACATTGCAAGAAACTGGCAGCTTCAAAAGAGAAATCTGCAACAATGCCCCCACAACTAACTGTCTTTAAAACGCAGGTCTGAAGGCATACAAAAACCACTTCAGTCTAAATGCAAAATATCTATACCTGTTACAAGGACATCCAAGTTCAATAGATACTTACATAATGCTAAAATATTTTCCAGTTTTCCATATAGTGCTTCATTTTTTAATTCTCCTGCCAAGAGCGTGGTGTTATCAGGTGTATAGCCAGCTTCCTACAGATACAGACAATTACACACAAGATACCTTAGTACATGACAATACTGTAAAATACAGTCCTCCCCTCCTAACTCCATATTGCACTAAAAATTCTTTTGGGCCCCGTATTGTAATAATTCTTTTTAGCAGGATTTCAACAGGTCTCGTAATACCACGGAGGGGCTTCTTAAGTAGCTGGCCAAAGTCAGGTGACCAGGACATATACAGCTTCTGGACAGGGCTCAAACATATAGCAGGGGAAAGAAGTTGAGAGAGAAAAAAAAATTCTACGACCCTACATTCTGGGCAGAATTAAAAAAAAAATTATGACTAAGCTACTGATTCAGCTACCCAGTAATACTGTGCTTACAAATTTTCTGTCTCTAGAAATGGAAAAATGCATTTATGAAAACGCACACTGTTCCAACATTTGGGAGAGGGAAGCCATGAAAAGTGGTAAAGAGGTAAGTGGGCAAATGAGCAATATAAACTCCATTTTCCAATGATACCATAGAAAAACACTTAAACAGGCTTGACTGTACTACACAGGAACAAAACTGGAGTCAGTACAGCATTCAGAGGAACGGCATAATTGAGGCATAAAATCATGATCTCATAAAGTTAGTCATTTAAACTCACCTGTAGCGCGGCCTGGAGAGTCTGAACATCAGTATTTGTCAAAATATATTTTGCATAGGTATGCAGAGTAGGTTTAATTCCCAACTCATGCATTACTTTGACGAGTTCAACAGTACCTACAAAAGCAAAGATACAGATCATATACCAAGATAATGTTTGTAATTAACTAAATAAACAATTTTCAACTGCATTAACAAATGTATATGGGATCAAAGCAAAGACTAGTAATCCAATTTGTTGCAAAACTTCCTACGCTTCCCAGCCTTCAGTGTTACTGGGAAGTGAGAGTCTTTCAATAGCAGGGTTTCTAAATTTGCCCAAGAGAAAACAGTTACGAAAACAAACTGAGCATTTAGACATCTTGCACAATTTACCCAGTTTGTAGGCATATACTTAGGCTAATTTCTAAGCTTCCTCCACTCAGACCGAAATTTTTGCACCTTACAGTGTCTAGAATTTTCATCAAAGAGTGTCTTTTGACAAAATATGTCAAGGTCACCTATGCTAAATACATGCTAAAAAGTAAAATTTTATTTAAAGTAAATCTTCTAGTACTAAAACTGACCATCTAATTCATTCAATGCTGTTGGCACTACATAAGCAGGAGTAATATTAATAAAAACTGACATTAAAATAATTAATTTTACATTTTTATCTTGCTTCATCTTTCAAAGGGCATTTCACTGCTTTAGTGGCTTCAACTCTTTTCTCAGAAATCTGAAAAACAACTTCAGTTTCTTCACATTAGGCCTAGTTAGCCAACTCTGAATTCATGTCAAAAACTATACAGGTATTGTAGTTTTTGCTGGTATAAAGATGATGTGTCAGTTGCTGCAGGACACCAGTTCCAAGTAGCATATGCTTTTTTCAACTTGCCTCTCATATTTGTTACTTTAAAAATGTTAAGTTTCCCAAAGTCCCTGTCTTTGCCCTGGAGTGCCACCTATGGAAAAGTGACACTTCCATGAATATTTTATGCAGTGCACTATGGTGCAAATAATCAAATGTGAATTCCCTTTGAGCACTTAAAAATACATGCAGGCAAGTCACACTAAATTAAAGTCGCATCATCTGCTCAAGTGTGCCTTAAACAAAACTCTGTCCAATTTTGGCCCAGAATCTGCAAAATTATGAACAAAGAATTAGGTAAAGTCAGTCAATCTTGCTTGATACTTTTCAAATTCTGACAGCATTTCTATTTTATGTTTGCAGGTTGTCAGAAAATATATTAAGAACCCAGATACAGTTATAGTAAAACAGTCATTCCCACCCTCACTCCCCCCAAAGTCTAGTCAATATTACAAGCGATAGTTGGTTTATACAGGAAACTAAGTACCACACTGAACTAGGTGCCCTAGCCTCTTTCTTCGACTAGAGTGTAAAATGTGTTTATTCAGCACTCCAAAGTCCCTGATAAACATTTGCTATAAAAATCATCCCACAGTTCAGCGCAAATGAGCCAAGAGAACACTAGAGCGGTTGCAGATCAAAATTAAAATGAACCATCAAGAAATCTGCATGGAAGACTGCATAACACCTGCTGCCCTATTTTTGGTTGATGCTAGTAGCATTGACACAATAATTCTCATGAGCTCTCTTATACACCCACTTTTTCAATTATATAAAAAGATAAACACACCTCTCTTTTCTAGCTACCCAGGCTTCTTCAATTTTGAAAACAAGGGCTTCTTTTATTTTTTCTTGAGGAGTTTCATAGGATAGGACCAATGAAGTCCATAGTTTTAAATGTTTGAAAGTCCAGTTGTTCCCTCCTCCTAGGAAATAAATCAGGAAATGACTCCCTGGAGAATCTATTGCTGACCTCAGAGTGTTTGCTCTTAGACAACAAACTTTAAAAAAGAACCTGAACAGGAAACTGAGGAACAAGAAGTCACCTACAGGATGGACTGTGTTAAGTATGGTCTGAACAGAGACTACAGATTCTTGTCCAATTCCTGGATTTGCTTTATAAACTGAATGCGCCTCAGTAGGTTAAAAGCTTTGTTTTTCTCTCTTTTACCCACCTTGCCCCTCTCAGCAGCGTCTCCTCTTTTTTCCCTCCTCCTTCCCTACCAGTTGTATTCTAAACGCTGCTTTCTATTTAGCAGCTCTGCTCTGCAGTCCCTTCACAGCATGAGGAAGTAAGCCCTCTGCTTACAAAAGCTTACGCTATACATCTCTAATTTAGTCCATAAAAAGTGCAAATCTACCCTGCCTTCTTCCTTAATACATTAGTATTACTAAAACATCAGTAAATGAAAGGATACTAATCTCAGATCACTTCTTATAAACTAAAAAAATGTATCAACTAGGATTTCTGCATTTTATGATTGTTATTAGAAATCCCTTAGACATCATTCATAAAGCTGTAAGACAAAGTTACTACACACATGGCCTCAGAGCTGGATCCAGCCCCCCACAGAGACCCTCCATTCAGCCCCCAGTGTACCCCTAAGTCTGATCAGAACTAAACTGGGCACGTCGCTTGCCTGTGGTGCAGAACTGACTTGGGAACTTGATTGGGCCCACAGACCCATTCCTCCCCCCCAAACAGCTGTTCCAGGGGCTGTGCCAGCTGGTCTGGTACTTGTGCTGCATGCATGTCACATCCTGGAGTGGCCCAGAGTGGCTGGAACAGATGCTGCATGCAGCACCATCTGACCAGCACCTGCACACAGTTCCTTACTAGAGCAGTTTCAGTACTGCACCACTCGCAGCACCTGCTCCAGCCAGTCCAGGACTCATGCTCCATGCAGCACCTATAAGCACCAGATCCCAAACCAGCTAGAGCAGGCACTGTGTGCAACATGTCCCAAAGTGGCACTGCATGTGGTTCAGTCCAGACAGGGCAGTGATCACCAAGAATCCTGGTTTTCTCCGATTTAAAAAAAATCCCCAATTTACAGTTAAAAAAAAAGTAACCCCAAATCCACATTGTTCTGTGTTTTAAATGAAACACCACTAATATATGGATAATATATAGTTACTTTTCTTTAATCCGAAAATACCAGGATCCCTGATCACGTGCAGCACAGATGCCACTCTGGCTGGACAGTGCTGCATACAGTGCCTGCCCCAGTCACTCCAGGATCTATGCCAGATGGTCCCAGTAAGGCTAGAATGACTGCCAGTTCAGCTATCCTAAGGGAGAAGGTCTTTGGGCCTGATCCAACCTGTGGTGCTGGATGAGTCTGACACCCCTGTTCTAAGAGCTACCCAGGCTTCTCCATTACATATAAACAATGGTTAAAAGAAACAGTCTAAGAATCTGAGACAAAATGTAACCTTATGTGTACAATTAGTGGTGTGTGTTAACCAGCTCTCAGGTCAATAAACTATATTTTCTCTAAACAACGTAGTCATTTATAAAAAAAGAAAATGTTTCATTTTTCCAACAAAAGCAAGCTTTTCAATTATTAAACACAGCTCCACAAAAGTACTGTAAATGTATCTGTGTTTGTAAATGCCCTCTTTTATTCCTGCCCATTTAAAAAATTTGATCTCAGTCCAGCACTTTAATATTTAATTTATCTGAAGAAAAAAATGGT